GTATTTAAGCATAAGAAAAATACTCCCATCCTCACCCTGATGACTCAGCCTTGAACTCAAGTCAGGTCTGCTGAAGGGAGATAAAACTGCAAAAATCTCCATAGTGAGCATCAGGGGCATGTTACTCCTTCAGCCATGATAAGTTTACGCCCAGATGCAGCTCTTGGAAACTAGTTGGTGGCCAACGGTGGCTGATGTCAAATGGTCCTCTGATGATTGTCAGTCCCCAGGCTATCAGGGGCATAGCTGTGTGGGGAGGATTTCTGTCTAGAGCTCCATCTTCCAGTCCTACTCTCTAACAAAAGTGATCCTATAGCCAGATGGTAGGGAATGAGGAATAGGAAATACTGGAGAAAAGGGGCCCTGGCAGAGCACCACATGGTCCTCTGGGCAGAGCAGGGACTCCTGAGTCAAAGCAGGGCACAGATGGTCTTCCAAGTAATTAGAGAAATTAAATCCCTGGCATATTTTAATCCGTGTATGGCCAGACTGCTAAAAAAGGAAGGAAGAATGGAAGGAAGGAAAAGGAAAAGTCAAAGGGAAAGGAAATGAAAGGAAAGGAAGAATGCATGGAAGGTATGAAAGACCCTTTGAATCTCAAGGTCTGGCTTGCTTGAGCAAAGCGCTACAGTTTGTTATTTCTTCCCAGAAGTACTAGGATTCCCCATCCCCCTCTTTTACAATTTCCTGAATCATGTTTCATCTTGTGCCTCTTTCTGGGGTCCCCATTTTCTCCCAGCTGGCTCATATATTAAGGAGAATTAGCTGAAGTAAGGTGTCTTGGCTGGGACCAGAAATTCCTCACTTATGGGCTCTTGTTGATTACTTCAGCTGAATTCCCATTAATAGTGAGAAAAAAAAAAAACACCATTATCAGCATATTCCATAATGTTAAGATTTGACCTCGGTTGGTATGTGCCTGTAATCACAGCTACTTAGGAGGCTGAGTCAGAAGGATTGCTTGAACCCAGGAGTTGAGTCCAGCCTGGGCAATATACCACGACTCTGTCTTTAA